CATCATCGTCACAACCGAATTCAAGTTAACGAGTCAAGAACGACCTTTGAATCCCTTCACCCAATACTTCCACTCGAAATGGAAGTAAGCTCAACAAAATGCACAATGTCTGCCACAGCGGAACGGACCAACACTCGGCACTGACTGATCAGATTCACATGACGCTGGTACTGCACAGGCCAGACGCCTTCGGTCTTTGGTGCGGCCGACTCCCAAATTCCCATGGAAACAAAAAAGACATGCTCCTTCGGAGATGCTGCGGCGTGTGGGCTTTCTTGTTGCTTTCGAGGGTACGTGAAAGTGAGAAGTCCGGATGTGGAAAGGTCGGTGATCTCAGCGACATACGCTTCTGCCATGATCACGCTCTCCCCACAATCCGCCAATCCTCACCCGCAACGTTCACTCCATTCACACCCGCGTACAAACAAACAAACACACACACACACAACCACACAACAATGCATCCCTTTGCCCGCCCTGCGCTTGGCCAAGCCCTGCTCGTCAACACGAACGGGCCGATTTTATGCTTCCAGCCGGACAGTGCCGATTTGGTGCATAAAAATCCCACGACTAAGGCATACAGACAGTCTGTATGGTGTGCATACCACCACACAGACTGACGGACGTATTTTCCACGATCTCAGCGTGTCAACTGGGCCAGAAGAAAACTCTGCTGGCCGGAACTTTACGGAGCCTGGAAGCGCCAGGCTGCAGGAATGTTCTAGATCTTTGTCTGGTTGCGCCGAGCTTGACAGGGATCAGATGAAGAGTTTGATATGCTTCATCACTCGCCCGACCAAATGGCTCGCAGAAGATCCCAGACCCGGTATCCAAGCAAAATGTACCAAAGGCGCGAGACGGCCAACAAGCCTTTCGTGGGGACAGGAAAGAGGTGTCTACCGTCCAGACAGAAAGTGGAGCATGGGAGGGTGGGATGGCCAAGACGGGCGGTTGACTTGTTGCCAGGCCGACCGACGAGGCAGCAACTCGCTTAGGCGACAGCGTCCCGTGGGCCGGTGATACCGGCGACGATCATGTCTGTTTGCTTTTCCGCGGACAAAAACGCCTTTCATAAATGCCACTGTCTCTATCCGGGTAAGGTGGG